CTTGGCAGGAGTTTAAGTGTGTAAAGTTTTGCAAACTGTTTCTGTTCAAATATGTCCTGCTGAAATGGGGTCTCAGGTGGGGTTCTATAACTGTCAGGTCAGTGAACTGCATAACATGTGAGAATGTATTCACCATGCAGTGCAGACAGGATCTGGAAATCAAACGCTTCGTTCCACTGCAACCTTCTGAAGCATCACGGTTGTTTCAGCAGCAAGACTGACACTGTATTAATAAACATTACGAGTCACTAGCCTGACATGTACACAGCAGCAGCTGACAGACTCCAACGTAAGCTGAGGGAGAGCAGAGGAAATCAAAATGAGACACAGGAACTGAACATAGCCAAGGGGACTGCAGCATGAAACAAGCTGCATTAACTCAGAAATGCGAGTCCCAAACTTTCAGAAGACACAGTAACTACAGCAACAATCTGGTATAATTGTTGAATATTGAAGTAAATGATAGCTGTCTAAAATGTGTGCTATTATTGTAAGAATAAAGCATACCCTAGCACATTTTCTGCCGATATCTTAGCCAGCAAAGCATCCATACTTGGTTTGTCTGACCTTTGAATTCTTAGAAGGATGTAATTAATTCTTTCCATCTTTATTACTTGTTCCAGTATTTCTGCCATTTAAAACAGACACAAAGAACAATCTTTTCTTTCCTCCAGACAATAGCCTTTGTCAAAAAGGAAATCAAGTCAGATTTACAAATACAAAATTAAGCAGGCTGCATGTTCCATTTTCATATATAAGAACAATGAAAATGTTTGCTAATACAATAGTATGGAAGGAAACAACATGCAGTTGGTCTGGGTAATTCATACCTAGATTGCCAGGCTTGATGACAGAGAACACGACTCTTATTTTTATTTTGTATTCCATTTTAGCTCTGCCCCTTCCCAAACTATGTGATCTTGCTCTGATCCTCAGCTTAAAGGTTTTACAAAGGAGCTGCTTATAGGGATAAAGGCAGAAATTAAATATATGAAAAAATGTCTGTTTGCCTTTTCTTCTCTTTTTCTTGCTCGTTCCACTTTACAGATCACAAGGCAATGCCTCTGAAGAGCAGAAGAATCTTCTAGTTAATGATGCCCTTCCTGATAAAGGACCAGCCATTTGGTGTATATTTTGGAGATACCATCAAAAAGGTAATTTTAAAACTACAGGCTTTTAAAAGTACTCACGTAAGAAAGAGCAGTGAACCTGGGTATGCCTCTTTAAAAGCTGCTCACCATTTCCTCTGGGCAAAGCCAAGTGAAACCTAGGCAGCTTTGGGGAGTCCTCTGGCCATGGCGGTTGTTCAAGGCAGTCCAGCTTCCCACCTCTTACCTGGTGGCTCTTCATCCACACAGCAGAAATGTACCTAGACTCTATTAACATGCAATCCTTTGCTCATTATTGTACTAAACATTGTAAGGAAAACACAAAGGAAGGTAATGTAAGTGCACTGACTGACATGGATCTGACCTGGTTCTGTCTGTTTGCTCCCTTGGAACCCTCCTTCCTCACTCTGTAGCAAGGTCTGCTTTGTCATTGCCATTTGTGAACTCAATTCCATTTCACGAGTTCTGGGTGAATGAGCACTGTGCTGGAGGAGGGTAGAAGCAGACAGATGAGGTAGTCCCTTTCTTGTATCACTGTATTTCTAGAGGATAGCTGGGTCCCAGTTTGGTCACTGCTAGCAAGGAGCACTTCTCCAGATGCTGGGGTCCATCTGAGATCCAGCTTTTTATCTGGCTTTGGACATCAGTCAAGAATTGTCCTCGGGCTGCATTTTTAGTCACCAGACTGCTTGCCCAGCAGGCACAGGGGGCTGGGTTTGATCCTTAGCACACTATAGAAACCAGGCATGTTATGGATCAGGAGCTCAAAGTCACCTTTGGCTGCTCACCAAGTTCCAGGCCAGCCTTACATATAAGAGAACCTGTCTCAAGAAACAAACAACCTCCCCTGTTTTTCCCTCCCACATTCTCCCTGCTTCCTACAGTCCTGATGCGTCCACCCATCTTTACTGCTTAGACAACACACACTCAATCTGTCTAAAGTCAATCAGAATCAATGGATAGTTTAGAAATTGATCCACCCATGGACTTGGAAAGCAGGCTGTTTTTGTTAGAAGTTTCTAATTTTCAAGTTGGTAGAGAAATCAAGTCTCCCTCAAACAGAAGCTCTATGTCCTGGGGTTTCCTGAGGCCTATGGGATTTGGGGGACTAAACCTGACTCTCACCTACGAGATGTATTAGAAGACATCCAAATCCAAATTCATTTCCACACAACATTTTTCCAGTAGAGATTCATTTAAAATAAATAAAGTTTATTTTATTATTGTCAACTTCTGGCTCACTATAGCAGGGTTACTTTTTTCACTTCTGTCTGATGAGGGCAGAAAATAATAAAAATAGAATGTAAATAATAATAAAATTTAGTAATTCATAATCTTTGCAGGATAGAAAGAAAATTAAATTTAAACCTCTCTTCTCCCTGATATTAATCTGCATAGTATCACTTTCTGAGGTCCACAGCCCCCTTCTTCCAGGAGTCAACTATTAAATTTATAGGCTGCGCTTCAGAATTTAAGTATTTTATTTTAGCTCAATGAAAATCATATATACATACAAAAATCATATCCATTTAAGGAGACTTATATATGATTGAACTAAAAGAAAAATTAATGTATAAATATACACATCATATAAATATATATACATATTTTATAGATGTGCATATGCTTAGATTATACCAATTCTGGTTGCATGCTCCTCACTCCACCTAGCTGTCCCTCACTGGACAGAAATGAAAGGAAGTCAGTTTGCTAAAAAGAAGCAGAGGCTGACAAACGAACGCCAGCCATGCCTACTACCTCCGCATCGCCTATGGCAACCTTCACATTATAATGGAGTGTTGCAACAGAAACTATATGACACACAGGCCCAAGACATTTACTACCTGGCCTTCACAGGAGGTCTGCTAACGTTTGTGATAAGGGAGGTGTGGGGGCAGCATATGCCAGCAGCTAGAGCTATTTAACATCACTAATGGATTAGTAAAGGTCAAATTCATCACTGCAAGCAGAAGCAAAGTTTGCTAAGCCTAAAGACGGTGTGAGAACTCAGATCACATACAGTGCTTTACTGGGGCAGGCTATCTCGATAAAATGTGTGCTCTTTGGTGCCAGAATCATGTGTGCCCAGGTACCAGGAAGGCCCATCTTTGTGTAGCTCAATCAACAAAAGCAGGAAGCACACTTGTCCTGGCTTACTGGGGACAGGAGGGAGGTGACAAGGAGGAGAGGGCTCTGTTCTAGGTACAGGATTTCCAGTTTTGTATGTAGAAAAGTTCTAGCAGAACAAGAGGAATTAGTCATGCTAACAAAAAGTCTGAAGGGACAAATGCAAACAAGAATTCTCTAGTGGAGAAGGTTACATTTGGAGGATACATTATAAATTAATTAAAATAATGTGTTAGAAATTAAAAATAACATTCATTCTTTAAAAGGGAAATAATATGGCAATCACATTGTCATGAAAATGAACATCAAAAGACTCAAGTTGCCAAGTAAAACATTTAACTCTCACTAAACCTGGCATCAATTTATTTTTAGCAAAACACTGACATCAAGATTATTAAATTTATTAATGCTATTATTTAGTTATATTTAATGTCATGTTTTAGGTTGTGTAAAATAGGGAAATTAAGGCATAACAAAGTAATGTCAAAAATCAAATAACAAGTTGCTAGTGAGACTTGAACCTGGGTTTGCCCTGTGGCATCTCACTGGGAGGCCAACAGTAGGTTTCTGGAGTCTTTGTGGGGTTTAGGGTTGAGAGCCTCTAAGGACAAAAGGCAACTTGGGGCTTCTAATACTCGAAGTACAAGCACAGACCCGAAGATTCACCTATATCTTCTCCACAGAGTCCTCTGCTGCGCTGAGGACACAGAAACTTTCTCTCACAAGGGGAAAAAGACCCAGAATACTCAAATAGTTTATGCTGTACAATCCTATTTTCCCAAGTCTCAAACAAAGGAATCTGTTTTAAAGGGACAGGAAAAAGTCCTTCAAGGCAATCCCTCATTAGAACTGTGAATTTGCTGGCTCCAAACAGCAGGGGGTGCCAAAGGGATCACTATTAATCCCAGGAGATAGCCAGGAGAGGGACAGCAGAGGCCTAGTTTAGAATCACTTAGGTTAGACTGAAACCTGAGTGTGTGGGGTCACCCTTAGCTGCTGGGACTCGAATGGACAAATCTTCACCTTCATCTGCAGTACTTAGCATTCCTTGGATGGAAATCACAGCAGGGTGAGTTCTGCTGGAGCTAATAATGATCATCTTAGCTAACAGTACTGTTTGCTTCAACTGGTGCAGCATCCTCAAACAGCACTTAGACTCATCTCTGCTCTGAATCAGCAGGCTGTAAGGCGGATGGTTGGGTGATCTATTAGTAAAGATACATGTATCACTATACATCTGCTTATGATGTGTTCACTTTCAATGCAGGAGATAGATTTCTAGGACTGTTATTTTATGTATGTACAGACACTTTCACAGGCTGCACCAGACTCACAAAGGCACAGGAAAGGCTAAGCACAGTCTAAAAGAAGGCAACGAGGAAAATCAAATTGAATTTGGGCCAGACGGAGAGAAAAGGTTTTTAAATCACAACAGAAAAATGACCACAATACACATTTTCATTTCCTTGACTAGAAAGTGGCAAACCCAAATGCTGCTTCCTAGGCTCCTTGTCACCACTGCTCCCAGAGGCCATCTGTAGACATGCTGTTCCCAACTCTACCTACGCCTGTTACTGGCTGTACATGCTGTAGGTGCAGAGGCATGAAACAGCAATGCACACACATGTTCCCAAATCATTCTGCAAGTAGTCATGTGAGCAGATGTTCTAGGCACCACACATAATTCACCTGATGCACAAAACGTGATGCAAAATACTAGCAGGTCAGGGTGAAACACTGAGGAAAGTAACAAGTAGTACTCACATTCGAACAAAGAGTGATTCTTTGGATGTCAGACCAGGAGATGAATACTTTTCAACCAGGGCCAAAGTACTGAAGCCAAACTTATGAATGGGCTCATTGGAATCCAACGGTGGGAAATCTGTGTCTACCTCCCCATCATCCTCAGCAATATGCAGGCAGTAGGCACTGACATTGTCACTGAAAGAAAAACCACACAGGCAAATGAGTACTGTAGGAAGAGACATGCAGTCCAGACAGCATGGAGCCCAGCCACCACATTGACTCTGTTGCTCTCTACCCTCAGCCTGGGATACACCAAGAACCCCTACCTCCCCATTCACTGATAAGGAGAAAACACTTGGCAATACAAGTGTTGTCATACTGTGTCATTTTCCCAACAGAACCTGGACATCTGTGAGAGATAAGACCTAGAACTCAATTCTTCAGATGAAAAGTAAGATTTAATGTTAGCCTTATACAGTAGGGCGGTGGTGGTGCACAGCTTTAATCCCAGCACTCAGGAAGCAGAGGCAGGTGGATCTCTGTGAGTTCGAGGTCTACAGAGTGAGTTAAAGGACAGCCAAGGCTACACAGAGAAAGTCTCTTTCAAAAAAGTAAAGCTAAGCCAAACCAAACTAAAAACAAAAATGGAAGCTTGTAATACAGGAGGGGAAGGAAGTGGTACAGTACCATGAGAACACAGTCACAAATAAAGAAAAAAACTACGGGGGGGGGGGGGGGTAAGTGGGCTTTGATGCACAGTAATCCTGTGACCAAGACCAGCCACTTTTCCTTTCCAAACACTACAGAACCTTAGCTGAATAAAAGCACAAGGCCTGATTATCCTGATGCTCACATCTGGCCCTTCTAACAACTTCTGGACAGTTCCGTTTCATGTCCAGTCAGGACTTCCAGATTCTAGTCTTGCCCTTTCAGAATCAACAAATACCTTTCTCCTTGAGGGACAATAAAAAGCCAATTTGTTTATAATGACAGGACACCACACCAACACAATTTAAAAGCTGAAATTAGGGTTGGGGTGTAGTTAGTGCTTGTCAAGCATGTATAAAGTCCTGGCATAAATCAGAGGTAGAGGTTTAGTCCTGTAATACCAGCACTCAGAAGGGAGAGGCAGGAGAATCACAAGTTCAAGGTTATCGTTGGCCACATAGCTAGCCTGGGATACATGAGACCTTGACAATACATAAGTTAAGTAAGTAAATAAACGAATGCTGAAACCAATGTAAATACTTTAGAACAACGAGCTGCAGAGTGGACTGGGAAATTGAAAACCTACTAGCATTTAGGCAGGTTGGCTTCAAAAGCATAATCTAATAGTTCAGAAGGCAGGAGAATTCTAAATTCTGCAGCTAAAATTTGGAATGTTAATTATGTGATTGATGCTTTAATTAATTAATTGCAAAGTGTATGCTAATTGTTTAATTGGTTGCTTGATCTATATAGATCATTTTTTGAATTAAATGAGTTGATTTACAAAGTTTATTGATTGGATGTGACAAGGAATTATTGCACTGACTACCTGATTTGCAATTTTCCCAGTTAATTCACAATCTTTAGCTGCACTCTGCTTATTGAGAGAGTCTACTTCAGGTGATCTATACTCAGTGTCTGCCAAGCTTGAGAAGTATTTATTATATAAAACAAGTAATAGGGACAGATGAAAATTAATGGAAACTATGAATCTGCTAAATGGATTGATAAAAAGAAAGTAATCTGGCCATGTTTGTCACTTTACATTTCATGGGTTTGCAATGTTAGGAAGAAAAATGAAATTCTTGTCTGAGTGTAGGATCTTCTAGTTCTTTACAGCAAGCTGTCAACTTAACCACAAAGTAAGTGTAAAAACAGACAATCTTTAGGAGAACACCAACTCAGAGCTTTGCAGTCAGAGAGACCTGGGTTCAAGTCTCAGCTCCGTGGTTCTTGGGCTATATGATTTCAAAATAAGCTTCCCCTTGGCTTTCAATTTCCACATCCATAACGAGGCCATAATGGTCTAATTCAGGATTAGATTCAGTGATATATGTAGAGTCTAGCATACAAGAGAAGTAGAATATAAATATGAGATGACTATAGTAAGGTCAGATGGGGACCAGCTTGAAGAGTTCTGTCAGTCCTCCCAGTATGGATACACAGCAGAGCAACAGTAGAGCCGTGACCGCGGCAGCTCATTCCAGGCAGGCGGGTTTACTCTATGTAGTGCTGTGTCTTAAGAAGGCCTCCTTCTGTATTATATAAGAGGAGTGAGGTCATTAGCAAGATTTAGCAGCAAACAGGGCTCTAAGTCCTCAACTGAATATCCAAGGAGATGGTGATAAAACATTCCACTCTGTGCACAAACCTGCTGGTTCCTTTGTGCCTCCACAAAGCAATCATCCTCTAACAGGAGCTACTGCTGTGTTGTCACTTTCTAGGACAAGACAATGTCATTGGCTGTGTGCTGTGGGTACTGTGTATCACACAGTGATGTGTGATGCTGTTCAGTATATATGTCGCTTTCATTGGTTGATGAATAAAGCTGTTTTGGCCCGTGGCTTAGCAGAGTAAAGTCAGGTGGGAAATCCGAACAGAGACATAAAGAGAGAGAGCAGGTAAAGTTAATGAGATACCATATAGTTGCCAAAGGAGTAACATGCAGGCACCAGTAAGCCACAGCCTAGTGGCAATACACAGATTAATAGAAATGGCTTAATTTAAGATGTAAGAACTAGCCAGGAATATGCCTAAGCCATTGACCAAACAGTGTTGTTGTAATTAATATAGTTTCTGTGTGATTGATTATTTGGGTCTGGACAGCTGGGAAACAAAAAGTACAATTTCTATTTACAACACTGGGAAACTGGCCTTGGCCCATTCAACTCAGTGACTGTTTCTATTTTATACATTTAACTGGGAAACAAAAGTACAGTTTCTGTTTACAAATGGCGCCCAAACATTTGGCAAGAATTTCCACATAAAGTCTGAGAAAGTTTAAAAAAAAAAAAAGAAAGAAAAAAAAATCCTAGAGAGAAAAGAACTGAGTGAAGCACAGCTTCTTGGTAGCAGCATTGTCTTTGGTGCGCTCTGTATGCTGGAGGCAAGCAGAGGTGTGGCTCCATTAAGAGAGGCTTCCTGACTCAACATTAGTGACAAAAACCTTATAGTTCTTTGAAGAGGCTCTGCCAACAAACACTTAAATGGTGTTTATGAGCAGCCGGCTTCTTGGTGGTGGCATGGACCTTGAAACTCCACAGAGCTGTGGCAATAAACATGGTTCTCGCCAATACCTCCACCATGAAGTTAGACTCTCAAAAAGCTAAGGAATATGACAGAACTAATTGCCAAAGCTGCAGCTTTAATCCTAGTCATGTTGCTTAACAAATTAAAAATTCATGTACTCAAAAGAGATAGTGATATACAATAGGCAGATTCAGGAAAAAAAAAACTTTAAATGGTTTACAGTGTGTTTAACATATATACATAGGCTTAGGAGAGAAAAGAAAAAGGATAGAGAAAGTCCTTAACAAATGGAATAGAGTAGCTAGTTGTAGTGACTCACACCTTTAATCCCAGCACTTGGGAGGCAGAAGCAGGCAAATCTCTGTGAGTTTGAGGCCAGCCTGGTTTACAGACTGAGTTCCAGGACAGCCAAAGATACCAAGAGAAACCCTGTCCCAAAAACAAACAAATAAACAAACAAAACCAAAAATGAAAAAGCAAAAATAAAAGAAACAGAGTAAGAAAAAAAAAGCTACGTAAAGATAAAAATTAAACAAAGAGTCTGGATTATGTATGTTATTGCGTTTTCTTTGAACCTTGTGACTGTGAATGAGCTAACTGCAAAGAGACATTTCACTATATTGGCTGCTAAGCTAAACTAACATTTACATTTTAAAGGTATTGACTTCAAAATTTAAGTCTGAGGACATGTTACTCTGGAAAAGAACTTCTGCTTTTGTTTCCCCACAGGATAAAAAGTTGTGGATTCCTTACCACCTAAAAAGGATTGATTAAATAAGACCCCCTGAAGCGAAGGCCCAGGTTTTCCAACATCTACAACAGCTTCAGGACTACTGGGTGAGATGGTCCACAGGATAGCCCATGAAAGACCTGATTAACAGTGTCCCCAATTAGCAGGATGTAGTCTAGAAAACTACACACAGAATCTCAAATATGGTTTTTAAATGTTTGTTTTCATTTAAAGAGGGTTGATTATAAGTGGTTAAGGGTCACAGTCAATTGCTTTCTAAAAAAAAAAGGGATACACACACACACACACTCTACAATGGTATGGATTTTGGTCTGCTGATAGAAATTTAAGGTCAATTTTGTTAATGTATATATTTTCTTGTTTAAGGTATTATGTTTATACAACTCATTAAAAATGTATTATATTTTCACACGAGTGAATTAACAGAACATTTGAAAACTTTAAAACAAAAAGAAGAAAGCTCACCTAAAAGAACTAGACAGCAGGAAATAATCAAATTGAGAGCTGAAATCAACAAAACAGAAACAAAGAAAACGATACAAAGAATCAATGAGACAAAGGGTTCTTCAAGACAATCAACAAAACAGACAAACCTTTATCCAAACTAATCAAAAGGCAAAGAGATAATATCCAAATTAACAAAATCAGAAATGAAAAGAAGACATAACAACACACACAGAGGAAATACAGAGAATCAGCAGGTCATATTTCGAAAGCCCATACTCCATAAAATTGGAAAACTTAAAGAAAATGGACAACTTTCTGGATAAGTATCACTTACCAAAATTAAACCAAGTAAGCAAATCAAGACCAGGTAAGCAAATAAAATAGACCTATAACTGCTGAAGTAATAAAAACAGATATCAAAAGTCTCCCAACCAAAAAAGGCCCAGGACCAAATGGTTTCAGCTCAGAATTCTACAAGACTTTCAAAGAAGAACTAATACCAATACACCTCAAAATATTCCACACAAGAGAAACATAATGAACAATGCCAAATTCTTTCTATGAGGCTACAATAACCATGATACCCAAACCACAAAAAGACATTACTAAGAAAGCAAATTACAGACCATTCTCACTCATAAACATTGATGCAAAAATACTAAGTAAAATACTGGCAAATTGAATCCAAGAACACATCAGAACCATCATCTACCATTAACCAAGTTGGCTTCATTCCAGAGATGCAGGGATGGTTCAACAT